TTTGCTGGTCACATGGCGTCTGTGTACATTTGCTGGTCACATGGTGTCTGTGTACATTTGCTGGTCACATGGTGTCTGTGTCCTGCTTGTTGGAGAACTCCCAGCCTGTTTTCCACAGTGGCCACGCCCTTCTATATTCCCACCAGCAGTGTGAGGGTTTCCCATCCTCGCCCACACTTGCTATTTTCTGTGTGTTTGATGGCAGCCATCCCAGTTGCTGTGAGGTGCTATTCACCACTGCTTGCCACCCAAGCAGGTGCGGTGGCTCCCTTCCTCTTCTGGGGCTGGAGCACACACAACCCACACCTCACACGTCTGTCCCAACAAGCACCTTCCCTCTGGGCAACAGTACAGTGTGGTAAAATGCTGGGGGCCCAGCCTGCCCTCCCACTGCCCAGGAGACCTGTGCCCCAGGGCGAGCCTGTCTGCCAGGCTGGGTGACGCTGCCCCTTCTCCCAGGCGGCAAGATGGACCAAGGACTGCCTGGCCTCTAAGGAAAGACCCATCTAGGCAGATGCCCCCGAAGACTTGGCCACTCCCCAGCCTGGCCCTGCCTGGGTGTGGTGCTGCCCCTCCCCCACTCCCTAGCCTGGCCCTGCCTGGGTGTGGCCCCTTGCCCCCTCCGCCTTTAAAGTCAGTGTTGTCACACAACAGTACTGCCTGGGCCCCAGGCCTTCACACAGCAGCCCCGCTATATGAGCACACTGACACCCCTTCCTGTCACCCACCAGCCACACAAGACACCAGGGTCACTGGCAAATGCTTCTAGCCTGCGGACTGCAGCAGGCCCACATCCTCGGAGGCCTGGCACATGCAGGTCACCGGCCCAGAGGGGTGGGGCACAGAGGAGGCAGGAAGCTGACACGTCCCTTCCCAGCCTCCCAGGCCAGCCCTCCCGCCCCCTGCGGGCCACATAGCCAGGCCCGAGGGTGGACCCCTGCCTACCGTACACCAGCCCGGGGTTCTGCTGCTTCAGCTCACGCACGATGTCCACCACCATGGCCAGGAACGACTTGTCCCTCGTATAACCTTCAGGGGGAGAATCCAGGTTACCCTCAGAAAACAGGAGACTCACCACGATCAACTGTGGCTCCAAGAAAGATAGGCACCAGCACACTTTGCACGGGGGAGGGGCGGGGGGAGGCGGGTGAAGGCAGGGTGTCCCCACAGTCCCAAGACACCAAGGGCAGACCTGGCCACATTCCTAACAGAAACGCTGTGCTTCAGAGGTATGAACCCCCGGCGAGAGGTGCAGGAGGAATCTATTTATAGTTCTACTCTCAGTAATAAGCACATGACACTTGAATTTCATCTTATTTATTTTGAGGCAGAGTCTCATCCTGTCCCCCAGCCCACAGTGCCATGGTTCAATCACAGCTCACTGCGGCCTTGAACCCCCAGGCTCAAGCAGTCCTCCCGCGTCAGCCTCCCAAATACCCGGGACTATGCCCAGCTAATTTATATTTTTTAAATGTTTTGTAGAGACAGGGGTCTCACTCTGTTGCCCAGGCTGGTCTTGAATGCCTTCCCTCAAGCAAGCCTCCCTCCTAGGCCTCCCAAAGCGCTGGGATTACAGGTTTAAGCCCCTGTGCCCACCTTTATGTATGACCTTTGAACATGTATAGATGCTGGGTGCAGTGGCTCACACCTGTAATTCTAACACTTTGGGAGGCTAAGACAGGTGGATCCCTTGAGCCCAGGAGTTCAAGACCAGCCTGGGCAACATGGCAAAGCCCTGTCTCTACAAAAAACAAAAAAAGTTAGTTGGGCACTGTGGTGCACACCTTTAGTCCCAGCTACTTGGGAGGTTGAGGTGGAAGGATCACCTAAGCCCAGGAGGTTGAGGCTGCAGTGAGCTGTGATTGTACCACTGCACTCCAGCCTGGGCCACAGAGTGAGACGCTGTGTCACAAAAATAAAATATAAATACGAGGCCGGGCGCGGTGGCTCACGCCTGTAATCCCAGCACTTTGGGAAGCCGAGGCGGGTGGATCACGAGGTCAAGAGATCGAGACCATCCTGGTCAACATGGTGAAACCCCGTCTCTACTAAAACTACAAAAAATTAGCTGGGCATGGTG